CACTAGAGTTTTCTCTACGATGTTGGTAAAGTCGTTTCTGTAGAGTTTGTTTAGTTTCACTACATTTAATTGAATACACCACATTGCTCTGTTTGTGTCTGGGTGTTTTGTCTTTAGGATGCACTAATTTCTGTCTTAACGTGTTGAAAGGTTTGAAATACACAGGGATTTTGTGTTGCCTAAAGATTCTTTGTAGTTTCTCTGAAACTCCCGCCACATACGGTAAGGACACCCCTCTTCTTCTACTTTCTTCTGTCTGTTGGACTGTGTCTCTGGCCTTTCTCGTCCTTTGGGCTTTAGTAATTTGGTAATGAAATTAGAGAATTATAGATAGATTTGACTTTACTTAAACTGTTTAAATTCTTGTGATTAGACAACTTTACAAGTTACAACATTTAGTGCGAGCTCAAAAGAATTAGGCCTGAACCTGAACCTGATAATTAATAAGACTCAAAGTTAGCTCAGATTTTTGATTTTTGTTTGCTTATGATCACAAAAGCTGGTATTTTGTGCACACAAGTAGACTTTTATGTTTATTTTTGGGTTTGATTTGAAGATTTTGTTTGTTTTGTGAGGTGAGACTAGTCATTTTGTGTGTGTGAAGTCTATTCTTCTTTACATTGTTCCACTTCATGGAGTGAAGGCACACAGGGGTGGCGTCATGTAAAAGAGTGTTTGTCTTCTGTGTCTAGGACTTAACTGACTGAACTAACAGACTATAAAATAGGAATAAACATTAGGACTAAGATATTATTTCACCAATAATATGAAATAATATTGGGGTGAAATAACTTTAAATTAACAGAATTGTCAACTAATGTTTTGTTCTGTTTCTGAGTTTGTTTCTGTCTCAGCTGAGAGAGGGACGTCTGGGGACAGTGTTTAGTCGTTCCCGGCACAGCATCCGGCAAAAACCTAAAACACCACGAAGTTCATTCCTGTGAAGGAGACGCCCACTCCCACCCCCCACCAATCATCAACCAGCAAACCAGCAGGCCAAACCAGCAGGCCAAACCAACGGCTAAATGCTGCAACGACAGAAGCAATGATGCAAAGGGTCATCCAGAGGTCAGACTCAAATCAACAACTTGACTCTGTGTGTTATTGGGACATTTTGCAGATTTCCAAAAAATCTGAAAGACTGGGTTGACCGAAGACATCACCTTTGTGCAAAGATCTGAGAACTGGATGTTTCCAGTTTTCTAACCTCTTAAACTCCTACATCTGTTTTGGCTCGTGCACAAAAGTTTGGCATACCCAAATGTCTTTGCTTATTTAAAAACACATCTTACATCTCACATGCTTGTGTGATTCATCATTTTAAAGCTAGGCCCTTCTAGTTTATGTAAATATACACCGAATTAATGCATGCCATTCCTATTTTTTTTTAGCCTTGCCTAAAAAATTCAATGTATAAATGCCCTAAAAAGCCTACTTCATTGGAAGAAGAAAATTTTCAACGCTAATTTGTTCATTGTGTTGTTGACAACAACTGTGTAAAGTTTCAGACTTCTAAGTTTTATAGTTTTTATGCAGTTTCTCTTTTTTATCAAGTAGTGCCATTTGGAACCCATCCATCCATCCATTTTCTACCCTTTAATCCATTTCTGGGTCAGGGGGGTGGCAGTCAGAGATGCCACCCAAGTCTCATAGCACCAGCCCCTCACTGACCCTCTGCAGGTGGTGAGTCCATAGGAGGACGGCTGCTCTCTGAGTGTGAGCATAGCCTTGATCTTTCAGTGGGGGCTTTGGGCAAAGTGGGGTTAAGTGTCTTGCCCAAGGACACAACGACAGCAGTCATCAGTGGGAGTCGGTGGAGAAGGTGCAGAGGTGGGAATTGAACCCACGACCTTCTGGCCTTAAGGCCAATGCTCTACCAACTGAGCTACTGTCGCCATTTGCCATTTGGAACCAATTTGGCAAAATGTGTGCCAAAATGTGCCAAACTGCTTTACTAACATTTCACCATCATAAAAAGCATATTTTTTAGTTTTGGTACTTATAAGTTACAAATCTGTGTGATTTTATTTTACATTTTTTCAAAATTATTTTTTTAGTAGTGTAAATGCATATAAAATATGCACAGCAGTACTAACAGCGTCTTTACGCACGCTTTTACTGTGAAAATGAAAAGAGTTCCTACAAGTCCCACCCATCAAAAGAAAGCTCTTTTTATTGGCTACTTAGACACGTCAATCATTCAGTGCTAGCACATTGCGCTAGCCATGCTAATCAACAACGGCAAAAATGGACCCCTCTGCAAGTGGATGCGGTTTGTCTTTTTCACAAGGGTCCTGTGGACTAAAACCTGCTCCTTTCTTTTCATGGAACCTCTCTTTTTAAAGCTAAGGACTCAAGGAACACGTGGATATGATGTTTGTGGCTAAACAAAGCTCAAACTTGGTGAAATGTGAAAGAGAAGCCTGAACATTTTTCAGAACTTTTTTTTTTTTGCAACAGAAAAATGCACATTTTTGGATTATTTCTGAAAAAATGGATTATACTTTGGGAAATACAAGTGGATATTCTTTTTCACTGAAGACATACGGAGAGAAAGAGACTAAGCAAGGATGGGGAAAGTCTAATTTGTAGGAGCTGCAGAAGACGAAAGGTAAGAAACTTCTACAAACACGATTTATTTTGTGCCCATATTATGCATTATAGCTTTTTAATGCAAAGTCTGATATCGTTTACACTTGCATATAAATATAGCAGAGAAAATAAGCTTTAAAATGATATATAGCTTGTGGATTATGAAGTTCAAAATTCATCTGCTATAGAGATATCTCACGTGACGTCACGATGCCTCGAACCATACTGGAGGACAAGCAAACGCTGTATGATAGTGGCGTGCACCCGGGACCGCATAAACATGTTCAACATTTTTGCCGTTTTTGGCTGCAGCAAAAGGAGAGACAGAGAAAATAAGTTGTGTTACCGACTGCCAGCCGTCCTTACTTCACACGGCTCAAAAACAAAAGACATCTCAAAGAAACGAGAGAGAAATCGCACAACCATACGCAACAACAAAAACTAATAGCCCCCAGAGCGCCCGAATATGGATCATTTCATTTCTGCTAAGTAAAATCAATTTGATGGCGGATTTAGTGTTATTCCGAAACAAACAGAAGTTTAAGGATAAAACATATCTGTCTGACTGCAACGTGGGGTTGCTCCATAGACTGTAGCTTAGCTTGTAGCATAGCTGTTATATATTTGGTCTCACACAGGACCTGACCCGGTTCACAGGGTATCTGACTTACCGAAGGCCAGCAGACATGTGAACGACTGAGCCGTGCTCGAGGGTGCCCCGTACTAGTATTTATTAATAAAATATACGGCTCCTCACAGTAGACGCAGAAAGCTCCATTGATTTGAATGTAATCTCATTATTTCCACTGCAGTGTAGCCACACATAGATCCATGGTGTAACAATAAACACATTAAATGTTAATCAGAGGATACATTATACATATACATTCTTAATACACGTGCACAGAGGTTTTCAGAATTTTCTGTTCACGTTTTCATGAAAAAACACTGTTTTAATGCGACAATATGCGACCGCGGTAAACCTGGATGTAACGATAAACATTAATAATACATTTTAGGACGCATTTTCAGAGGATCTGATTCATGAATTTAGGTTGAGTATATATTTGGGTCACTAACTGCTGAAGTTTCAAATTCTATGTTCAGTTTTCATGTAGTTCGAGAGAGTTCTAGTTTTGAACGTCCAGTTATAGATAGCTAGCAGGGCTGTTACTCGCCGAGGTTGTCCTCCAGTATGGCTGCCGTGGCTGCTAGTCACGTGACCGTAGGATCCCTCTATTGCCAGCAGATACATTTTTTTTCTCGTTTGCCCCCGCCGGCGGGGGCTTGCGAGCTGGACATGATGGTGCTGTGCTGGATGGGGCTGGACATGCTGGCTGCAGAAGATGGGGTGTGGAGGCGTGTCTACAACAGGTGTTACTGGACAATAGGCTTTTTGGGGTGTGTGGTGTCAATTTGATAACCAAAGTTGACACATTTCAGGTGAATACATTTCAGTTTAATACATTTCAAATGAACGTTTAGTTTAAAAACATTTTTGATGCTACATTTAATTACATGAATAAATGGGTTATTTGTTTCTTTTTCACATCCTACAGATTAATATTGAGCCATAGATAATGTCTCAAAAAGGGGGGAGTAATTATATACAGTAGATATTTTTTTTGAGTTATTTTATGTGTGTGTTTTGTAACCAATGAGATTTTTATAAGACACATGTCAAGAGGGGTCTCTAAGTTGAGTCGACACAACTTGGATTCAAATGTCATACTGTGTTTTTATTAATTTCATTGTGTTCCATCTTTAAGTTGGTTTACTAAACATTGAATGTGGTTAATTCTTTTAATGAAAAACAGGAGGGATATGATAGTGGAGTTGTTGGATTTTCATTGAAGTGAATTAGATTTTATTCAAAGTTTAGACAGCTTTGGGGTAACCTACAAGTGCCATTAATACAGGTAACGAGTGGAGGACAGAAGAGCTTCTTAAAGAAGAAGTTACTGGTCTGTGAGAGCCAGAGATCTTCCTTGTTTGAAGTGACCAGATACTTATTTTCCACCATAATTTACAAATAAACTCTTTAAAAATCCTACAATGTGAATTCCTGGTTTTTTTTCCACATTCTGTCTCTCACAGTTGAAGTGTACCTATGATGAAAATTACAGACCTCTGTCATTATTTTAAGTGGGAGAACTTGGACAATCGGTGGCTGACTAAATACTTTTTTGCCCCAGTGTATTACTTGTGTAAATGATACCTCACTTCTCATGACACACAAAGAGGCTTTACACTTCAGACACAAAGAACAAAATCATGATAAAATCAGCAAGTTTGATTTTTGTATTTTTTATTTCCAGGTTCTTCTCTGAAGCGCACACTGTAGAGACCTGTGTCAGAGGCAAACGCCCAGGACTCTGCTGTTGCTCCTGCAGGAGAAGCAGGAGGTGATGGAGGTGAAGCAGGAGATGATGGAGGTGAAGCAGGAGGTGATGGAGGAGAAGCAGGAGGTGATGGAGGTGAAGCAGGAGATGATGGAGGTGAAGCAGGCGGTGATGGAGGAGAAGCAGGAGGTGATGGAGGTGAAGCAGGAGGTGATGGAGGAGAAGCAGGCGGTGATGGAGGTGAAGCAGGAGGTGATGAAGGAGAAGCAGGAGGTGAAGCAGGAGGTGATGGAGGTGAAGCAGGAGGTGATGGAGGAGAAGCAGGAGGTGATGGAGGAGAAGCAGGAGGTGATGGAGGTGAAGCAGGAGGTGATGGAGGTGAAGCAGGAGGTGATGGAGGTGAAGCAGGAGGTGATGAAGGAGAAGCAGGAGGTGATGGAGGTGAAGCAGGAGGTGATGGAGGTGAAGCAGGAGGTGATGAAGGAGAAGCAGGAGGTGATGGAGGTGAAGCAGGAGGTGATGGAGGAGAAGCAGGAGGTGATGGAGGTGAAGCAGGAGGTGATGGAGGAGAAGCAGGAGGTGATGGAGGTGAAGCAGGAGTTGATGGAGGTGAAGCAGGAGGTGATGGAGGAGAAGCAGGAGGTGATGGAGGTGAAGCAGGAGGTGATGGAGGTGAAGCAGGAGGTGATGGAGGAGAAGCAGGAGGTGATGGAGGAGAAGCAGGAGGTGATGGAGGTGAAGCAGGAGGTGATGGAGGTGAAGCAGGAGGTGAAGCAGGAGGTGATGGAGGAGAAGCAGGAGGTGATGAAGGTGATGAAGGAGAAATGATGGTGTGTGATTTTGTTGCAGTCAGAAAAAGTCAAAGTTAATTTCACCAGAAGTCTCTGATAAAGAAGAACATCCATCCATTTTCTTCCCCTCAATCCATCTCTGGGTTGGGGGGGTGGCAGTCAGAGCTACAGTTCACATAGCACCAGCCCCTCACTGATCCTCCTGCAGGTGGTGAGTCCATAGGAGCTGAGATCTTTCAATCAGACAAAGGGGGGTTAAGTGTCTTCCCTTAGGACACAACAACAGCAGACAAGAATGGGAGACGTGAAGTAAGTCTTGTGGTGTCCTCGAACCCACAACCTTCAGACTCCAAGGCCAATGCTCTACCAACTGAGCCACTGTCGCCCCGCCCCGCAGGAGCGACAGTGGCTCAGTTGGTAGAGCAAACAACATAAATTAAAACATGGATGCCACACATTTAGGATTCTTTTCAAACTTCATATTCAATTATAGTTATTAGGGGCCTTGCTTCTTTCAAATTGCAATAAACGTGTTAAAAATAAAATACAGATTTGTACAAATGTGCACGTTTGTATACGTTTGTATGTAGACTGCACCAACACATCCTTGGGGGTGGTGTGGGGATGACGACCTGTAAAGTACATACAAATGTATGATTTTCCGCTGGTGATGTTTACAGATTGTTGTTTGATGTTTATCTGTTATAACTAAATAAACACACAAAAACATAAAGAAATGTAAAATATATATATAATAAAATAAAATACAGAAATCCTTCCTGTATTTAATATTAAAGGTACAACTTTCACAGCAGGAGAAACAGACGCTCTGAGGAGTAACAGAAGAATAAATAGAAATATACACACAAATAACCAACTTAGAAGCATGGCTAACCACTTTAAACCTGTGTTTGTGGAAGTGAGACTTTGTCATTTGCAAATGTCTTTTAAAAGAAACGTCTGTATAATGTGCTTATATCCTACTATACATATTTCCATCAGACTATTGTAAGAAAAGTGCTTCATAATGAGCCTCGGCCAATTCTATCAATATATACAGTAAATGTAAATAAATGATTAAATAATAATCTAATCATAATCTATAATACAGAAAACACGTGTCAGCATAATTTAGCTGCTGTCTCCATGGACTGTTGAGTCTTTTTCTATGAAAACGTGACTGTTTCCTCAGTGTGGCTTTAATATTTAATCAATGGGTTTGTTTCCCTCTAAAGATAAAACACAACATGATTTTTCTTGTTCAAAAACTGAATCTGAATAAACTTGCTAGCCTCGTAGCATTATCTAATCTTTTCGGGACAAACTAGTCACAGCAGATATAACAAGGTTAAAACATACATCTGTGGCAGATCTAACTTAAGCCTGTGTTTGATCATAACAGTCGTGTTCATAACTCAACAGTAACGTTTAGCAGTACTTACCATAGACACATGTTAGCTCCAGGTCCGAGGCCAGTGAGCTGTTTACAAGTTAATGCCAAACAGAGTTCCGCACATGCACGGCCGTGACTCATACATCAGATGTATCCTTCAAATCTTCTCCAAAAGTGTTTCCAGTGAGACGAGGGCATGACACCTACACTCCCTACCTCGCCACTTCGAATTTGGACACCCCTATAATGTCCGGCACATGCGGAAGTGACGTCACGATGCCTACGAACCATGCCTACGTAGGGAAGATGAGTAGAAATTTGGACGCAGCCACTGAAATTATGAAATTATATATATTATAGTTGCTATTATTATTATTATTACTATACTCATATTATACTATATACGAACTATTATGTGAACTATTATATTATTATTTTTATATAATACTGTCTAATAATATGATGTGTCTATATTAGTGCATTTATTGGGGTTATTGTTATGGTTGTCATTATTTATTATTATGGAAATTGTTATTTCTGTTATAGATGTTATACTGTTGTTATAGGCGTCATTACTTCAACATCACAATCCATAATCTACTACTGGAAAGGAGACAAATGAATTCTGGTTAAAGTATTGGCGCTGACGACAGCCAGAGATTATAATCTGAGCATGTAATAAAGTTCTAAATGTTGGTGTGAAAAGGTGAGTGTCTCTGACCTGAGCACTTGAGCTGCAGACTGAGAAGAGAGACCAATGTGTCTTTCTCAAAACAGTCGATCAGTTCAGTTTCAACACAGTCTCTATTGAATTTCACAGCTTTTCGATCATGCGTTGTTTTTATCTCCAGATTCAGAGCAGGGCCACAGTCCAGCGCAGAGCAAACTCTGGATCCAAACTCCAGAGGAATCTCGTTCTGACCCAGTGGGTTGCCAGAGTCCGTAGCCAGTGGAGTCCAGTCCAGACCTGGTCTCTGCAGCTGCACCTCCCCCTGACAGCGACTGGCTCCTCCCTCCAGCCTCAGACTGTAAGGCCCTGGAACAGGAGACACTGTCACTAAGAAAAACAAACACAGAGAGACCAGAGAGAGAGAGACCAGAGAGAGAGACTAGAGAGAGAGACCAGAGAGAGAGACCAGAGGGAGACCAGAGAGAGAGACCAGAGAGAGACCAGAGGGAGAGACCAGAGGGACCAGAGTGACTTTTGAGTAAAGGTATCTGTCATGTTAGTGCTTTATGATGTATTTGGAGTAATCGGCGGCATGCATTCTTTATTATTATTTATATACTATTATTACCACCTTTTTCTTCTTTATATTTCTCTAAAAGTTGTTTTCCTCTCGTTACAATCTCCCACATGTTTTGTTATTACCATTATTATCATTATTATTATTATTATTATTTCTGTTAGCATGTTACCTGATGAGTTGTGTGTGTGTGTGTGTTACCTGATGATTGGTGTGTGTGTGTTACCTGATGAGTTGTGTGTGTCTCCCAGGACCCCTGCACACAGGGAAGTTGTGTTACAAAATGGCGGCTGTGGGTCACATGACACAGGGCGACACACAACTGAGGAACACTGCGGTCGCACTCGAGCTGCACTATTCATCACAATCAGTAAATCACAAAGAGACCAGAGAGAGACCAGAGAGAGACAGAGAGAGAGACCAGAGAGAGACCAGAGAGAGAGACCAGAGAGAGAGACCAGAGAGAGACCAGAGAGAGAGAGACCAGAGAGAGACCAGAGAGAGAGAGACCAGAGAGAGAGAGACCAGAGAGAGACCAGAGAGAGAGAGACCAGAAAGAGACCAGAGAGAGAGACCAGAGAGAGAGACCAGAGAGAGACCAGAGAGAGAAACTAGAGAGAGAGATCAGAGAGAGAGAACTGAGGGAGAGAGACCAGAGAGAGACCAGAGAGAGAGACCAGAGAAAGAGACCAGAGAGAGACCAGAGAGAGAGACCAGAGAGAGAGCAGAGAGAGAAACCAGAGAGAGAAAACCCAGAGGGAGAGATCAGAGAGAGAGACCAGATAGAGAGACCTGAGAGAGAGACCAGAGGGAGACCAGAGAGACCAGAGAGAGACCAGAGAGAGAGACCAGAGAGAGACCAGAGAGAGAGACCAGAGAGAGAGACCAGAGAGAGAAACCAGAGAGAGAGAAACCAGAGAGAGAGATCAGAGAGAGAGACCAGAGAGAGACCAGAGGGAGAGAGACTAGAGAGAGACCAGAGAGAGACCAGAGAGAGACCAGAGAAAGAGAGACTAGAGAGAGAGAGACCAGAGAGAGAGACCAGAGAGAGACCAGAGAGAGACCAGAGAGAGAGAGACCAGAGAGAGAGACCAGAGAGAGAGAGACCAGAGAGAGAGACCAGAGAGAGAGACCAGAGAGAGAGACCAGAGAGAGAAACCAGAGAGAGAGAAACCAGAGAGAGAGATCAGAGAGAGAGACCTGAGAGAGACCTGAGAGAGACCAGAGAGAGACCAGAGAGAGACCAGAGAGAGAGACCAGAGGGAGACCAGAGAGAGACCAGAGGGAGAGAGACCAGAGAGAGAGAGACCAGAGAGAGAGAGACCAGAGAGAGACCAGAGAGCGACCAGAGAGAGAGAGACCAGAGCGAGAGACCAGAGCGAGAGACCAGAGAGAGAGAGACCAGAGAGAGAGACCAGAGAGAGAGACCAGAGAGAGAGACCAACAAGAGAGAGACCAGAGAGAGAGACCAGAGAGAGAGACCAGAGAGAGAGACCAGAGAGAGAGACCAGAGAGAGAGCAGAGAGACCTGAGAGAGACCAGAGAGAGACCAGAGAGAGACCAGAGAGAGAGACCAGAGAGACCAGAGGGAGACCAGAGAGAGACCAGAGGGAGAGAGACCAGAGAGAGAGAGACCAGAGAGAGAGAGACCAGAGAGAGAGACCAGAGAGAGACCAGAGAGCGACCAGAGAGAGAGAGACCAGAGCGAGAGACCAGAGAGAGAGAGACCAGAGAGAGAGACCAACAAGAGAGAGACCAGAGAGAGAGACCAGAGAGAGAGACCAGAGAGAGACCAGAAAGAGAGACCAGAAAGAGAGACCATAGAGAGAGACCAGAGAGAGACCAGAGAGAGACCAGAGAGAGAGACCAGAGAGAGAAACCAGAGAGACCAGAGAGAGAGACCAGAGAGAGACCAGAGAGAGAGACCAGAGAGAGACCAGAGAGAGACCAGAGAGAGACCAGAGAGAGACCAGAGAGAGACCAGAGAGAGACCAGAGAGAGACCAGAGAGAGACCAGAGAGAGACCAGAGGGAGAGACCAGAGAGAGAGACCAGAGGGAGAGACCAGAGTGACTTTTGAGTAAAGGTATCTGTCATGTTAGTGCTTTATGATGTATTTGGAGTAATCGGCGGCATGCATTCTTTATTATTATTTATATACTATTATTACCACCTTTTTCTTCTTTATATTTCTCTAAAAGTTGTTTTCCTCTCGTTACAATCTCCCACATGTTTTGTTATTACCATTATTATCATTATTATTATTATTATTATTATTCTTATTTCTGTTGTTAGCAGCACATTTGAAAGGCTCAAGAAGAGGTCAGGAGGTGGCACTGAAATAGAGCTGGATTTTCACACAACCTTCTGGTAAAGAGTAAATAGTGAGTCTTTCAAATATGTTTCTTTTTGCATTTCTCTGTTTTTACAAATGAACTTTTCATGTTTTTACACAGATGTGTTTGAAAATTCTCTGTTTACGTTTGAACGATGGAAACAAAGAGAAAAGTCTGAAAAATGCCTGAGAACGAGAAAATTAAAACTAACACTTACCCAAACAGCAAAGGGACAGAAGCAAGACTCTGATGGCCATGGTCTGGACCAGGTCTGAACCAGGTCTGAACCAGGACTGAACCAGGACTGAACCAGGTCTGAACCAGGTCTGAACCAGGTCTGAACCAGGTCTGAACCAGGACTGAACCAGGTCTGAACCAGGTCTGAACCAGGTCTAAAGCAGGTCTGAACCAGGACTGAACCAGGTCTGAACCAGGTCTGAACCAGGTCTGAACCAGGTCTGAACCAGGACTGAACCAGGACTGAACCAGGTCTGAACCAGGTCTGAACCAGGACTGAACCAGGTCTGAACCAGGTCTGAACCAGGTCTAAAGCAGGTCTGAACCAGGACTGAACCAGGACTGAACCAGGACTGAACCAGGTCTGAACCAGGTCTGAACCAGGACTGAACCAGGTCTGAACCAGGTCTGAACCAGGTCTAAAGCAGGTGTGAACCAGGACTGAACCAGGACTGAACCAGGACTGAACCAGGACTGAACCAGGACTGAACCAGGTCTGAACCAGGTCTGAACCAGGTCTGAACCAGGTCTGAACCAGGTCTAAAGCAGGTCTGAACCAGGACTGAACCAGGTCTGAACCAGGTCTGAACCAGGTCTGAACCAGGACTAAACCAGGACTAGGTCAGGTCTGAGTCTAGTCTCACTGATCTCTGTCTCTTGAACATGTTCTTATCTCGTCATCGTCACTTTTTCTTGTAAAGACGGAAATATTTTAATCTGATGGAAACGTTTCCACGAACTGCTCAGTCTCTTTCATTTAAAGCTCGGTCTCTAACTTCTCTGTTACCATAGTAACAGGTCGTTGGTCCGACAGAAAGAGTCTTGTAAAACTTATTTTTTTAGAGCAAATCCAAAAACAACACGCTGTCTTCGTCTTAATAGATAACATGTGAACTTTAGTGTGAGACAGATCCCCGTGAGTCAGAGAGAGACCCGAGAGACCCGAGAGACCAGAGAGAGACCAGGGGGAGACCAGAGAGAGACCAGGGGGAGACCAAAGAGAGAGACCAGAGGGAGAGACCAGAGGGAGAGACCAGAGAGAGAGACCAGAGAGAGAGACCAGAGGGAGAGACCAGAGGGAGAGACCAGAGAGAGAGACCAGAGGGAGAGACCAGAGGGAGAGACCAGAGAGAGAGACCAGAGAGAGAGACCAGATAGAGAGACCAGAGGGAGAGACCAGAGGGAGAGACCAGAGGGAGAGACCAGAGGGAGAGACCAGAGGGAGAGACCAGAGAGAGAGACCAGAGTGACTTTTGAGTAAAGGTATCTGTCATGTTAGTGCTTTATGATGTATTTGGAGTAATCGGCGGCATGCATTCTTTATTATTATTTATATACTATTATTACCACCTTTTTCTTCTTTATATTTCTCTAAAAGTTGTTTTCCTCTCGTTACAATCTCCCACATGTTTTGTTATTATCATCATTATTATTATTATTATTATTATTCTTATTTCTGTTGTTAGCAGCACATTTGAAAGGCTCAAGAAGAGGTCAGGAGGTGGCACTGAAATAGAGCTGGATTTTCACACAACCTTCTGGTAAAGAGTAAATAGTGAGTCTTTCAAATATGTTTCTTTTTGCATTTCTCTGTTTTTACAAATGAACGTTTCATGTTTTTACACAGATGTGTTTGAAAATTCTCTGTTTACGTTTGAACGATGGAAACAAAGAGAAAAGTCTGAAAAATGCCTGAGAACGAGAACATTAAAACTAACACTTACCCAAACAGCAAAGGGACAGAAGCAAGACTCTGATGGCCATGGTCTGGACCAGGTCTGAACCAGGTCTGAACCAGGACTGAACCAGGACTGAACCAGGTCTGAACCAGGTCTGAACCAGGTCTGAACCAGGACTGAACCAGGTCTGAACCAGGTCTGAACCAGGTCTGAACCAGGTCTAAAGCAGGTCTGAACCAGGACTGAACCAGGTCTGAACCAGGTCTGAACCAGGTCTGAACCAGGACTGAACCAGGACTGAACCAGGTCTGAACCAGGACTGAACCAGGTCTGAACCAGGTCTGAACCAGGTCTGAACCAGGTCTGAACCAGGACTGAACCAGGTCTGAACCAGGTCTGAACCAGGACTAAACCAGGACTAGGTCAGGTCTGAGTCTAGTCTCACTGATCTCTGTCTATTGAACATGTTCTTATCTCGTCATCGTCACTTTTTCTTGTAAAGACGGAAATATTTTAATCTGATGGAAACGTTTCCACGAACTGCTCAGTCTCTTTCATTTAAAGCTCGGTCTCTAACTTCTCTGTTACCATAGTAACAGGTCGTTGGTCCGACAGAAAGAGTCTTGTAAAACTTATTTTTTTAGAGCAAATCCAAAAACAACACGCTGTCTTCGTCTTAATAGATAACATGTGAACTTTAGTGTGAGACAGATCCCCGTGAGTCAGAGAGAGACCCGAGAGACCAGAGAGAGACCAGGGGGAGACCAGAGAGAGACCAGGGGGAGACCAAAGAGAGACCAGAGAGAGACCAGAGGGAGACCAAAGAGAGAGACCAGAGGGAGAGACCAGAGAGAGACCCGAGAGACCCGAGAGACCCGAGAGACCAGAGAGAGACCAGGGGGAGACCAGAGAGAGACCAGGGGGAGACCAAAGAGAGACCAAAGAGAGACCAGGGGGAGACCAGAGAGAGACCAGGGGGAGACCAAAGAGAGAGACCAGAGAGAGAGACCAGAGGGAGAGACCAGAGAGAGAGACCAGAGAGAGAGACCAGAGAGAGAGACCAGAGAGAGAGACCAGAGAGAGAGACCAGAGAGAGAGACCAGAGAGAGAGACCAGAGAGAGAGACCAGAGAGAGAGACCAGAGAGAGAGACCAGAGGGAGAGACCAGAGGGAGAGACCAGAGCGAGAGACCAGAGCGAGAGACCAGAGAGAGACCAGAGAGAGAGACCAGAGAGAGAGACCAGAGGGAGAGACCAGAGGGAGAGACCAGAGAGAGAGACCAGAGGGAGAGACCAGAGGGAGAGACCAGAGGGAGAGACCAGAGAGAGACCAGAGAGAGACCAGAGAGAGAGACCAGAGAGAGAGACCAGAGGGAGAGACCAGAGGGAGAGACCAGAGAGAGAGACCAGAGGGAGAGACCAGAGGGAGAGACCAGAGGGAGAGACCAGAGAGAGAGACCAGAGGGAGAGACCAGAGGGAGAGACCAGAGGGAGAGACCAGAGGGAGAGACCAGAGGGAGAGACCAGAGGGAGAGACCAGAGGGAGAGACCAGAGGGAGAGACCAGAGAGAGAGACCAGAGGGAGAGACCAGAGAGAGAGACTAGAGAGAGAGACCAGAGGGAGAGACCAGAGAGAGAGACCAGAGGGAGAGACCAGAGGGAGAGACCAGAGGGAGAGACCAGAGGGAGAGACCAGAGGGAGAGACCAGAGGGAGAGACCAGAGAGAGAGACTAGAGAGAGAGACCAGAGGGAGAGACCAGAGAGAGAGACCAGAGGGAGAGACCAGAGTGACTTTTGAGTAAAGGTATCTGTCATGTTAGTGCTTTATGATGTATTTGGAGTAATCGGCGGCATGCATTCTTTATTATTATTTATATACTATTATTACCACCTTTTTCTTCTTTATATTTCTCTAAAATTGTTTTCCTCTCGTTACAATCTCCCACATGTTTTGTTATTATCATTATCATTATTATTATTATTATTATTCTTATTTCTGTTGTTAGCAGCACATTTGAAAGGCTCAAGAAGAGGTCAGGAGGTGGCACTGAAATAGAGCTGGATTTTCACACAACCTTCTGGTAAAGAGTAAATAGTGAGTCTTTCAAATATGTTTCTTTTTGCATTTCTCTGTTTTTACAAATGAACGTTTCATGTTTTTACACAGATGTGTTTGAAAATTCTCTGTTTACGTTTGAATGATGGAAACAAAGAGAAAAGTCTGAAAAATGCCTGAGAACGAGAACATTAAAACTAACACTTACCCAAACAGCAAAGGGACAGAAGCAAGACTCTGATGGCCATGGTCTGGACCAGGTCTGAACCAGGACTGAACCAGGACTGAACCAGGACTGAACCAGGTCTGAACCAGGTCTGAACCAGGTCTGAACCAGGACTAAACCAGGACTAGGTCAGGTCTGAGTCTAGTCTCACTGATCTCTGTCTATTGAACATGTTCTTATCTCGTCATCGTCACTTTTTCTTGTAAAGACGGAAATATTTTAATCTGATGGAAACGTTTCCACGAACTGCTCAGTCTCTTTCATTTAAAGCTCGGTCTCTAACTTCTCTGTTACCATAGTAACAGGTCGTTGGTCCGACAGAAAGAGTCTTGTAAAACTTATTTTTTTAGAGCAAATCCAAAAACAACACGCTGTCTTCGTCTTAATAGATAACATGTGAACTTTAGTGTGAGACAGATCCCCGTGAGTCAGAGAGAGACCAGAGAGAGACCAGAGAGAGACCAGGGGGAGACCAGAGAGAGACCAGGGGGAGACCAAAGAGAGACCAGGGGGAGACCAAAGAGAGACCAGAGGGAGACCAGGGGGAGACCAGAGAGAGACCAGGGGGAGACCAAAGAGAGACCAGAGGGAGACCAAAGAGAGACGCCAGAGAGACACAGAGAGACGCCAGAGAGACACCAGAGAGACACCAGAGAGACACCAGAGAGAGGCCAGAGAGAGGCCAGAGAGTGTATTTGGAGAAACTGTGTTTCCCGAAATACAAAACTGTCTGAAGAACATGAGGCATGGAAAAAAAATACCTGAATACCCCAAACACCTGTGCATTAAACTCTGCCCCCAGTGAACTGAAGAGGCCCCTCAGCAGCTCCAGCATGAGCCTCCCACACTCCCAGAAGCAGTGGAACACAGTCTCCCTCTCCCCACAGAAGGGACAGCCCTCCCCCTCTGCCCTGTTCACCCGACACACAAAGACATTGACAGCCTCCACTGCAGGTCCCCCTGTCTCTTGGTCAGAGGGGGCTTGTACAGGGCCCCCCAGGCCGGTCTGAAGGCGGGGCCCAGGTGTGACCTCCACACAGTGTCTGCTCGGTCACACAGTCTCTGGTGGTTCAGGGCCTGGATCATGAGGCTGCAAGGTCTTCCCTGAAGCAGCCTCCAGAGAGGCAGCGACTGGACTGGCGAGCAGGGGCCCAGAGGAGGGGCCCAGGTCTAGGCTGAGGATGAGGCTGGGTCAGGGGTCAGTGGGGTCAGGGGTCAGTGAGCTTGAACTGTGTGTCCAGAGTCCAGTCCTCCTCTGCCAGACCCTCCCTCCAGAAAACCAGGAGACGCTCCAGAGTAGGAGCAGACCTCAAGCCCAGGTGGACTCCCAGGGCCTCCCAATCCTCCAGCTGAGGCCCACTCATATCTAGGAGATGCTGCACCGAGGCTGCACCGAAACTACCCCTCCTGAACTGAAACGGCCCCGCAGAACAGGCCCCGCCCAGGCAGGAAACTCCAGGGGCCGCTGTAGGAGCCAGTGCAGAGAAGAGCTCTGCTTCTGCCTCTTCACTCTGCTCCACACAGAGAACAGCCCACGGTAGACGGACGGGAGTCCAGCTGGTGTTTGGTCACTGAGGAACACTGAGAGAGAACTGAGAGAGAGGAAGGAGAGGAGGCGGCCTTCTCTGTGCTCTCAAACCCAGAGCACAGGGCCTTCCAGAGAGAGACCAGAGGGAGACCAAAGTGATACCAAAGAGAGACCAGAGATACACTAGAAAAAGGCTAGAGAGAGACCAGAGAGAGACAAGAAAGAGATCAGAGACTGACCAAAGAGAGACCAGAGAGACACTAGGAAGAGGCTAAAGAGACCAGAGACAGACAAGAGAGGCCAGCGAGAGACCAGAGAGAGGCCAGAGAGAGACTAGAAAGAGACCAGAGACTGACCAGAGATAGACTAGAGAGAGACCAGAGAGAAGCCCGAGAGAAACCAGTGAGAGACCAGAGAGGCCAGAGAGAGACCAGAGATCAGAGAGAGGCCAGCGAGAGACCAGAAAGAGACCAGCGAGAGACCGGAGAGAGGCCAGAGGGAGAGAGATCGATCAAAGAGACCAGACAGAGAGGGACCAGAGAAAGCGAGAGAGACCAGAGAGAGAGACTGGAGAAAAAGAGAAAGATCTGAAAGAGACCAGAGAGACCAGGGAGAAAACAGTTGTTGAAAACAGAACAGATAGATTATTTCTGGAGCCTTCAAGTAATATTTTAATAAGATTAGACGTTCCCAAGAAGTGACTGTTATTGATGTTCCACTGCCACCTGCTGCTTTCTTGAAAAGCGTGAAACTCCCTGTGCAGCTGTGAATGCACCAGCACTGAAATAATTAAGTTTTCAAAATAAATGAATAATAATGTAACGGGCCAAGTGTTAGTGTAGAAAGAAGAGAGGAGCGAGTGTCTTCAGGTTGTTTAATAAGTCAAGAGTACAGTACAGAATATTATAAAGCTAGACCGGGTCAATTAGTCCATTTCAATAATTTACATTCATAAGTGCCTTAGGTACAAGCAAACACAAGTTAGAGGGATTTTAACTCTCACTGTACACCGGGGTTATCACAGGGCCTCTTCAGTAGACGGTCTCTCTCATGGCGTCATATGACCAGCAGAGGGCGCTGTTTCTCTCTTTTTCTTTCAGTTGTAACGTGTATCACAATCACAGAAATGATCAGTGCGACAAATAACAATAACGTAGGGATCCGGAACAGCCACTGCTCCCAATCTGTGGAGACAAGAGACACAAGTAAATGTGCAGTGTTATTATGTATTAAAAATATGATTAGATTAACATTAGAGATAATAGAGATTCATATATTTCATTCTATAAACTGTTGTGTTGTTATTATTGCATTTCTGTGTTGGAACTGTTTGATTCTCTGATTTGCTGTTGGTGAAGCGACATCTTTGTGACGTCTTCCAAAAGGACTGCTGTGATTTAGGGTTGTACAAAAATAAATTGAAATTGAAGTTAACAACTGTAATTGTGTTTTTTAATGACAACATGATGGTGTCATGATAGATTCTCACACAAGCGACAACTATTCAAGCATTTATTCTCTGGAACTATTTATATGTATTTGTATTTACATATATTATTAGCCAAAGTAGCATTTCTTGTAGTTATCTTCTGTATGTGACCTGGATTCCCACAAAACTTAATCTGTTATTGATTTTGGTTGTCCTGTATCTCTTTTGCCTATGTCACACACAGACTGTAAATACTACACACATCTATGAAATGAAGTCAAAGGATTAAACAACGCATTGGACAGAGTGTTGTGTCCAAGTCTTACTGTGAATGCTGCTTGTAGGTTGAGTCTCATTGAGTCCACAGACTGCTGTTATATTCACTGTAGCAGTCTTCTCCTCCGCAGGGTTCTGAGACACACATTTGTACTGGTGGGTGTAGTTCCTCTGTTGGACAGTGAGGGGCAGCACTGCAGAGCTGCTGCTGACCACAGACTGACCTCCTCTGAACCAGCTCAGTGTGGTCTGCTCTGTGTGCTTCACTGAACACTGCAGAGTGACACTGTCAGAGCTCACGTTCACACAGGACACGACTGGAACAGACACCTCCTCTGTAACACACAACAAACACACACAAAATCACACACATGAGGAAGCGTTAATTTCACAATCAGAGATTTCAGCAGAACGTTTGACGCACGTTCACTAAATTGCAACCGCATGAGTATTTTAAAGTATTTCATTAAAACGATGATTGTCATTTTCTTTATTATGGTACTGTTTATTTAATGCAGGCCAGATGTGCCCCATTTTGGTAGGACCCCAATCTGAAGGCGAGTTAAGACCAGCTCAGAATCTATTGGACCAGAATCATAAAGAGGCCTTCTGTTGGTAGGAGGCCTTGCAGCGGGTCCACTCTTTGGCTGGTTCCAAATTCAAAGCTCACACCCCATACTGTTGCACATGGACATTTTCACCTCTGATTATATATACGGACATTTTACAACTCTTCCCCTCCCCCTGCTATGAGCCTAAATATAAGAACTGTTCAACATCAAAGGTTACCATCACCGTGGACTGTTACACCCTCGCATTGCATCTTTTTTTGTTTTTTTTACTGTTTATTCACATCTGCAGAATGTAAATTTCATATGTACTATTTATCTGAAATTATTTTCAACGTAAGGCACCATAAATCTATTAGTGTTTATCACTACTGTATCTCCTATAGAGTAGAACCAAGTAGACTTCTGATCCTGGCCTAGTATAATTCTATAAACTGTACTTCACCAACGAGTTTAAGCTATCAGCTTTTTGTGTAAAGTTCATGAACATGTGCAGCAGCTTTTTGTGTAAAGTTCTGAGATCCTCGTTTGCCGCATGAGTCTAGTCGTTTTACCGACCGCCTCTTCTGCCGGACAGACTGCTGCCCACGACCCGGTCACTTCACATCTTGTTTGCTGATTTAGGTTTGCCTCTTGATGCAAAGAGAAATAATAATAATGATATAAAAAGACAAATGAAAAACACATTCAGAGTCAGAGCTGGTACAAGTCTGAACAGACACAGCTTTAAGAATAATTGTACTCACCGAACACTTTGAGGTCATAGTATTTGAAAAACACATTCCCTTTTTTGGAGTCGATGGAATAAACTCCAGAATCACTTTTCTGCAGATCTGAGAGAGTGAAGAGTCCAGTGCTTTTGTTCCAGTGAAGTCTGTTTCTGTAAATGTCTTCTTCAATCTCAAATTCACCATTAAAAACAGCAGCAATAGTTTTTAGTCCAAATGAAATAAATGCTCTCTCCGTCACAGAGTCTGGAAAAGTGACGGATCGTCCCACAACAGCTTTTAGATTAACTCTCCCGTCAGTCAAACACAAGGAGAAAACTGCAAAGACAAATAGACAAAGTTTTACACTAGTAAGTAAGTAATCTTTGTTTATATTTCACTGCAGATCAGAGTCTCAAAGCGGTTTCCAATTGTTATTATTTGGGCATTTGTCTCTCACTCCTCACAGAGATGGGGTCACGAGTACTGGAGGCGCATGCCAGACCTATTGTACATGTTTTTAGTGGTAGAGTAAACCTACGCAGACACAGGGAGAACTCCACTAAGGACAGCCCTGGTCCAACTGGGATTCGAACCCAGGACGTTCTTGCTGAGAGGCGAGAGTGCTAACCACTCATGCCGCCCACACTATCTCATGCTCCTTTATTCTTCCTGTTGTGAAATGTGTGTGCATTCCCTTTTACAGCTGCTCTTTTCACAATTCACTGTCTCAAAAATAAAGTGCTAGATCTTATTTAAAAAGTAAAATAATAACCTAAAAGTACTTTATCAATTTAATCCAACACTTTTTTTGTTTTCATGGAATTATTCAAGCTGTGAAATGTTCAGTATTATTGATTGATGATATACTGCGTCACATGTGGATTATCCTGTGACGTAGAAAACTAATTATTTTATTAAAGTAACAGGAAGTGGCAAACAAGTTATATCACCTATAACACCATTTAAACTAAATATTATTTTTTATTTAACGAGGAAAAACCCATCGAGTTTAAGAACCTCTTTTTCAAGAGAGTCCTGTCCAGTAAGCATTAGTAACAGATGCTAAATCTGCTCACTAATGGAACACACTTTCATTTATGAACTTAACTGTGTGACTTATGGTGTTATTTAAGTTTATTCGTGGTTTAAAGACCCTGGTGTTGCTGGTTACTTTTATGTTACTATGTTTTGGAGATTGAATTTAATTCCCCTCTCCTCGTCTTGATACAATTTGACTATTTAGTTTCAGTTCTCGATGTTGAGGCTTCAGTACCAGGAGTCTGCAACCTTTGTTATAAAAAAGTCATTTCTCCCAAAGAGAAAGTAAAGAACCTCAACATTCATGAAACACATGCTTGGAATTGGTACAAGGCTTTACAGTCCTAATATATATATAAAAATATACATTATTTTATCTATTTGAAGTACACAGGAGCCAGTATCCAGAAGTTTATCACTGATAGTGTGGATTTAGGATTATCAGGCATGCTCGTTATATGTTCTACACAAATGTTGTAAAGATCTGTCTATGTTTCAACATAAACATGTGTTTGTTTAAAGGAGCACGTCTGAATATGTTTAGTCCACACTGGCAGAAATACACTTCTGTACAGTACAAGGCTGAAGAGGAACAATCTACACCAGAATAATGCACTTTTAAATAAACAATACTTTTACATCTGTTATTTCTTCTAAACAGCAGTGATCTGGAAAAACAGACTCAAAACATTTAAACAAATATTGTATTAATTGTGGTTACCTGTGAACAAGAGCGCGGCGCTGAGAGACATGGTTTTGTCTTCGGCCTCAAATGAAAACAACTGAAGCCACATCCGCTCAGCTCAGCCTCCTACTGTAGGAAACTCTGATCTGGTTTGTGGTAAATGAATACTGTCCAACAATGAACTTTTAAGGTAGGGCACGTTTATTTGTATAGCACAATTCATACACAAGGCAACTCAAAGTGCTGAACAAAATAAGAAAGCATTTAAATCATAAATAATCACTGTACATTAAAAAGAGTAAAGATAAAATCCTTCAGTTGCTAAACAGAACAAGTTTTAACCTGAATTTAAACATTGTCAGAGAGGAGGCCTGTCTCACACTTTCAGGAAGACTGTTACAGATTTTAGCAGCATGAATCTGAAAAGCAGCCTCCCCATGTTTAGTTCTGACTCTGGGCACTAACAGGAGTCCAGTCCCTGTGCTCCTCAGAGTCCGGGCTGGTTCATATGGGACTAACATGTCACTAATATATTTTGGTGCGAGGCCATGGAGAGACTTGTAACAAGCAGAGCTGTTTTAAAGTCTATTCTCTGAGCCACAGGAAGCCAGTGCAGAGACTTGAGGACTGGACTAATGTGGTCGTACTTCCTGGTTCTTGTCAGGACTCGAGCTGCTGCATTTTGAATGTACTGCAGCTGTTTTACATCCTGTTTGGACAGACCTGTGAGCAGGCCATTGCAGTAGTCTAACCTACTGGAGACAAATGCATGGATAAGAATCTCCAGGTCTGCTTTAGACACTATGTTTTTGATCCTGGCAATGTTTTTTAGATGGTAAAAAGCTGCTGATGTTACTGATTTGATGTGGCTATTAAAATTTAAGTCTGAGTCCAGTATTACCCCTAGATTTCTGACCTTGTTTGAAGGTTTTAGGGAGAGAGACTGTAAGTGACAGATTACGCTTTCTTTGTTTCTGGGGACCAAAGACAATCATTTCGAAGTATATTGATACACTGGACTTAATCTGTGAGGCAAGATCCTTGGAGAAATTGAGAGTGATCAGAGATTTGGATCCATATGAAATGCAGCGAGACCAGTGGACTTCACTTCGAAATGGCTTACTTTCACTTAAGTTTTACAATTAATAAAGGTTAAGATCTATATGATGCAATATTTATTTCAATCATTTATTTTGAACGAAGCAGTCGATATCACAGGCCGTAAAGTACTGACCCACGGCCATAAGCTTCTGTCTACCACCCTGTCCCCCTCCTCCTCTCATTCATTTAGAGGGGATCGCTGCATTAATTGAATACATATGTTTTTTTTTTTATTTGCTTTTACAGAAATTGGTCTTTACTGTAACATTCATAAATAATGTATGTTACAGTATTTGTCTTTTTATATGTTTTTTATATTACTAATAAGAATGCATTAAGTCCTTAACCAGCCAAAGAGTTGCATCTATTTATTCAATTTCATTTTCACTAAGGATTTTTTTATATATATATGTAGTCAATAAATTACAATCTAAAAACTGTAATTATGAAATTCCATGATTACTGTGTAGACTGAAATTAGGACTAAAAAGTGCTCAACCCGATCCACCCAAAGGGTGTCCCTTATTTTTTTGTTCTCAAGTTGGCAACCCTACTTTCCAATGTCACCGTAAGTAGCAGCATAAAGCGGCCACCTGCTTACAAGTTACAAATATAATTAAAATATATTTTTTTCAGACTCTTCTCCAAACACTACTTTGACAAGTAGTCATTTTGAATCAAATCAAATGCAAAACAAATATTTAAGGAATATTTATTCGTTCCATTTTTTAAATTTATTTTTTTGGAAATCTTCTTCCCCCAGGGGTTCCCGCGGCCTCCAGGGGGGTCGGGACCCCCACTTTGGGAACCACTGATCTAAAGAGACTAGCTCCCTATCTCTCTATCACAAACATGAACATTGGGGACACTCCGGGAACTTTGGGAGGGAACATTTTTTATGCCTTATCTTTTTGTTTTGGTTGCTGGTCATGACTATTTGCTGTACAGCTGTATATATGTAAATGTTTTGTACATATTTTCACAGTGCACTTCAAACCTAAAAATACAAAACACCATATACATTCAAACTTTAACTTGGTTCTTGTTTATTACTACTCAACCTCCTCGAGGGAGCCCCAGGCCTTCTGATGCTAGTCCAGTCTTTACTATTCTTAGCTCGTACTTAACTTATACTGCTTAAGTGGCTTTTATTTAGCAGTGAGGGCTACAAGCGCCTTTCACAGACCAGGATCACAAAGCGCTTCACATTTAAAAAACATACAGATGAAAATACTACACACAAGTCAGATTTATAATCAAAGAAACAGATCTTCATAAACTTTTATTTATTCAAAGTTTGCGTGTTTACATTAAACTTTTTCTGATGCGCCAATTCAAAATTAGAAATTTGATGGCTCAGTTGGTAGAGCATCGGCCTTAGAGCCTGAAGGTCGTGGGTTCGAGCCCACCATAAGACCTACTTCACGACTCCCACTGATGTCTGCTGTCGTTGTGTCCTTGGGCAAGAGACTTAACCCCACTTTGCCTGAAGCCCCCGTTGAAAGATCAGGGCTCCTGTGGACTCACCACCTACAGGAGGATCAGTGAGGGGCTGGTGCTCTGTGTACTGGGTGCAGCTCTGACTGCCACCCCCCCGACCCAGAAATGGATTAAGGGGAAGAAGATGCATGCTTAATGGAGCCACAGCTTATTATTGTCCCAGAGTGGGAATATGTTTATTGTTGTCAATCTTAAATTTCATGCATGTTTTGGCGTGTTGTGATGAAGGTTGAGATGAGCGTATACTACTCTACCTCTAGACTTAGCGTATATTCTGAGCGCATCGTACGCTCACTTTGATAAATGTCAAAAGGTGTAAAAAATAAAAAATATCTGTATGCCTCATTTACGTACCACCTCTCTTCTTTGACTGTTGCACCGAGCCAAAGCAATTTTCTAGTCTGTGACTTCCTGTTACTTACATGGCAATAAAAATGATTCTGATTCTCATTACCCTGGTTTGGCCCTACGCAAGTTTCATAAATGAGGGCCAATGACAGAGACATGTTCATTCAGTTCTGTTGATGAATATTGTTGTGACCGTGGTTTGTGTAGTGGTTATTAACAGAACAAACAGAATGTAACCAAATTCAAGACCAACATACTCAAATAGTCACTGGGATGCTCCATGGGTAAGTGATTTACGCCATAAAAGTAACAATTGAATGTCTATTTAAAAAAGTTTATTTAAACAAGTTTGCAGGCAACTCAACTGGTAAAGAGCTATAGGCCTACTCTGTACTGCCCACACATAAGCAAGACTTTATTGATCTCACACAGGAGAAATGTACATGTCACATCTGGCATGGATAGAATCACTCAGATTTGTGCAAAGGACAGAAGTGTGGAACATGTTAAAAGGCATAAATTATGTACAAGGGCAATTAAAGAAACAGTGGCATAGTAGTGCAGGTTTTTAACCCAATTTAATCTATTCTATAAATTACATAAATTATATAAAATAAATAACTAAAATAAATAAATTTTGCAACAGATTACTCTTAGTTGGTAACCTTTGGTTCAAACAACCTACTGCATGGTGTCCTTTCTATGTATTCTAAGTTTTAACAATATTTACATTCCTTAGTTTGTATTAATACAATTGGCATCGTACACTGGTATCAGGCACAAGCAGGAACATCTTAAGTGCACTGGAGATGGTAAACATGTCATTATATAAATTAAACAATTTTGGTCCTGAAGCCAATAATTCCCTTTGGCTGACGTGTCCACAATTTGATACAGAAATCAGACAAAAAGATTCTCAAAGGTTAACATCTGCATTTAATTATCTTTACAATCAGATACAGAAATCAACAAAAGAGTGCTCCTAAAACTAATATGTCTCTCTCCTGGCCCTCGGCTGATCCTTCTGTTTCTCCCCAAGCCAGAGCATAAAAGAACAGGGCGGAGGGGAGTGTCCTATCAGCCAGCTTCCGGTCTAGGGTCCAGCCTTTTCCTCCGTCTGCCAGACTCCTGATGGAGTGAGGTTGAAAAGTGCAGAAGTCAGCAGGCCAAGACTAGGGGGGTGAAATACAAACAGGAGAATCTGTTGTCCAATTGCTGGCACAAGAAGACACCTAAAATAAAATAAGAAGGACTGGCCTCCCACTTAGAGGTTAGCTAGGTCATAAAACACATGGTTTTAGAATGTCACGTATTTATAAATACAACAGTTTCCCTCTTTTGACCTGATTAAAAATTAGGTCACAATCCACATCGTCGTTTATCATCAATCCTTGTGCTTAGTTCCGGCTCGATATCTGTGAAGAGTTAATACAGAGAAAACAAACAACACACAACAAACCACATTCGAAACATTCCTTCACTAAACTCTTTGATGACCACTGCTGTCATTCTGATTCTTCTTCAACCTCGTCTGTAATGTATGTACTAAAACTATTCACTATAGTTTAAACTATTCTAATCTATTTACAAATATGTTTGCTTATTTTGCTTTTATTGAGCCCTATTCTTAAACATATGTTTTTATCTAATAAATCTATCTATACTGGTGGTTTGCTTTCATTATCAGTGGCTCTGTGCCATTTCGTGGGGCTTTGCTCATTTTTCCAAATACATTTTGTTGAACCAGGAAGTGCTGTCACTTCCTTCTCTCAAACCGTTTGGGATAAATGTACATCGTTAATCAAATTGGTATTATCCGTACAGGAGCTAATCTATTTTAGCAGGTTTCTCTGGGGTTAGTCCCTATACAACGGTATTTTGATTCTCTAATCTGTTGCTGACAAATCGACAGCTCTTAAAATTCTCAAAACTACCTAAAGATCTACTTTTGTGCTATACCCAAATTCACCAAAATGCTTTTAAATGTTTTTGAATCTCTGTTGGTTCTAATCTATCTCATTAATCTAAGCTACATTAATCTAGGCTACACTCATGAACTTTATCTACTTTTGAAGTAACTACTTTTGGACATAATATGAAGGAAATGGTCTTTTTACCGTTTGATATTAACCCTGTCTAAAAATAATCTCTATTTTTTGA